CAAAGACAGCAAGTATAGCAGGACTTATAGTGGCCCTATTATGCTTAATTAGCCTCTCAGACCATTGACATGCACCGAAACCTACAGAACACACAGGAACGGGAAACCCCCCAAAAGCATAACGGTACTTCCACACAGCAGCTTTGAAAAAATCTTGAAAATCTTGGAGCTGGGCGTGTCTGAGAGCTTGGGGATTTTTGCGAGCAACGCGACCAACAACCAATCACATGAATATCCCGCCCCTGACATACAAAGCAAAAAACCCCGGTTCTTCTCCACTCAGAATATGTGCAGAAAGGAGTATGACATTGTGTGCATTAATGTGATGCATATAGTCTATGATGTGGCAGAGGTAAAGTGTCAGCGGGAAGGGCTATGATGAACGTGTATGAGATTAATGTCTATGGTGCTATTTTATGCTACATTCCAGGCCGGCTAAAGATACTGTCTATGCTTGCTAGCAATGTTTAAACGAAGTATAAACTCCCCAAACAGGCGAAAACCTACCAGTTTCACCCACTGTCTCTGCCACCTCCCTCCATGCCTGGTTCCTCCGGTTTGTATCCCGGTAAGTTATTAGCGACTGGTCATAAAGAACCGGGTGATTTGCTACCGCAATAACTAATTTCTCCTCCATTTTCAGGAATATAGAAAATGAACTGCGGTGTGTCTCTCCCAGTTTACACGCGGTTTGATTGGCTAGCGCTTGTACTGTCAGATTTGCATAAACGGGATTTGATCGGCTGACGCTTCCAGCTCAGCTTCAAAAATGGAAAATTGCTCAACTTTTGAATCCTGAAAATCCTGGAAATCCTGGAAATCTTCGCTTTGCTTCCCCACAATGCAGTTCGGCGAAAAGCGAGGCAAAGTGACGTCACCCCATTCAAAGTCAATGGGCAGAGATGCGTTGGAAGCGTTGGAAGATTTTTTTAACGCTGCTGTGTAGACGGGCCGTAAGGGAACATATGAGAAAAGATCAAAGATAAGCTTTTATGTTAAAAGAAGTGTTTGATTTTTTAAGTCCAGCAGTACCCTGTCAACAGGAAGTGGTATCCAGCAGTAGATGGCAGCAGCAGCAGAGCTTCATGGTGCAGCAGGGGTCTCCGACAGCTCTTCATTCTGACACTCTGCAGACAGCTGCTGCTCAAAGGGAAAATAATATTATATATATGTATTAAATAATGCCAATACTAATTTACATATCATGCACTGTCCCTTTCTCAATAAATAATATATGTATATAGACATGTATTTATACATATGAGGGCTTCCTTGTCCACCTTTTCAATTTTAAGTATTTTTTTATATTTATAAATTCACCTTTATATATAAGTCCTTGCCAATGCACACATGGTTGGCCAATGTAATGGGTTCTGATTGTGAGGGTGCAGTCATAAAGAAAGTGGCACCTTGGGTTTGTATTTTTTACTAAGTGTAGTTGCGAAATTATAAAGAAATAAAGATCCAAAGTCCAGGCAAGAATCTCAATTTGGCAGTTAACTTAATGATCCAATATCAAACAGTACAAGATCAATGGTTCTCTTATATCTTGCCCTTTTTGCCTTTCTTGTGGCCTCCTTTTGACTTTTCCCTGGTAAAAATAACATATGCCCATTTAGTCTCACTAATCCCACCTACTGTACACCTGTCTCCAATATATACATAAACACCCTGTGCCCAAACCTGCCATCAAAATAAAAGCATACTGTAAACAACTACTTTATAAACTGAAATCATTACAGTAAATACAAGATACATATGCAATCAACTAAATAAAAGTTGAACGATTAAATAATATAAATCAATGTATAGCTCCAACACTCCAAGATAAAGAGTTTAACCTTAAATCCACTTGAGAGGTAATATAATCAGAACATATGATGAGTCATGAGAGATATGTGGCTTTAGTTTCCTTCTTAGGAAATTATAGTCAAGGTGTAATAAGACCATAATATCATAACATTTGATATGGACCTGCCTCGCCTCTTATGTTTGCTTTGTCAGCAGTGAGACCATTTAAAACTGCATGCTCCTTAGCATCTTATCATTTACAGCTATAAGCAGAAGCTACACATCACTGCCTTTATAGCAGTGAACACAAAGCATCAAGACCAGAACCATCCTAATCTTTACAGAAATACTGCGTCGAATAAACAGCTGAATGATGAGGTGAGTAGCTGCTTCTAAATTTAATTTCATTGTATGAGTAATTTAAGAGCACGCAAACCCAAAACTGATTTATTTAATATCTTATTGAGTCTGAGCGCAAAATATTAGCATTATAAATCATACTAGTCAACAACAAGATTTTCACTCCCTCCCTTCTTTCTTCGTTGACCTTCTTTTCTGTAATCATTTTTATTTTTATTTCAATCAGGTCAAAAGTTCAATGTTTAAAGCTCATATATTCTCATTCTACAACTCAGGGTTCGGGTTATGGTAAATGTAAGTTGACGTTTTCCTACAAAAAAACAACAACAACTCTTTATCTGTGCTGTATGGAGGATGAGTTCAAGAGTCTCACAGCGAGGAGAGAAGCTCGTCTGCAGTTTGTTCGGATTATTCAGTATCGTTGCCAGATGGCAGCAGTATGAACACAATGTGGCTTCAATAGGTACATGTCTTTAAACATGTTGGGCTCCAAGCATTCACCTTAAATATATCACAGAGTGGTCTGTTGTTATATCACACATTAAGTAATAGCACACATTAGGGGATATAACAATAACCCAAATATTATGTGTTTCAGTATTTGTTATTTCTATTCTCCATCAGTGCTGCCCAGAGTCAAACACTGCTCTTCAAACTTGAAGCCCTGCAGTGCCAATTCACCTGGGATCTTGACATCAGAACGGCCTTACTTAATCATCGCAGGGACAACCTGGAGGACATTGGCACCAATGATGGAAACAGATGGCTGGGTCACATCTACAACCTGCGAGGGTTCATTCAGTACAAGCTAGGATCCAATAAAGAAGCCCAGAAGTTCTTCAACAAGGCTACAGAGTCCTTCAGCCGGATAAGAAGCACAGATGAGGGCCCCTGGTTAGTGGTGAACTATGGGAACCTGGCTTGGCTGCACCACCACCTGGGAGACCAAGCAGAGAGCGAGGCCTACCTGTCAAAGGTCGACGCCCTGAATAAAAAATACCCATCTCCATCCCAGGAGGAGCTCCACCCGGAGATCTACGCTGAAAAAGCCTATGCGCTGATGACGGTCAGTGGAGACAAAACACTTGTTGCAGATTACTTCCAGAGAGCCATCGAGATGCAGCCAGGTACACAAGAGTGGAACACTAGCCATGCCTTAGCTTTAATTTATGCTTCTTAGCATAGCAGCACAGGGCTGGAAGATGACATCTTGGAGAAAATGAGAATTGCCCAAGAACAGGATCCAGAGAACTTGTACCTCGCTGCTCACTACCTTGATCAACGTGCTCAGAGAGGAGAAAGAATAGAAGATGAAGCACGTGAGTTAGCCACAAAGGTTTTGAGAAGTCCTGTCAGCAGCTACAGTGGTTTAAAACCATTGCTCTGGTTTACAGAAAGTATATATCTGGTGATGAGGCCATTGATTTGGCAGAGGAGGCTCTGAAGAACCAATCCAGATGAGCGTTATCTGAAGAGATGTGTTGCACTCTGTACCAAATGGAAGATTCATTTTTTACAGGAAAGGATTGCCCAAGCAAAAGCTTTGATAGACAGAGCAATCCTTCTCCTTGAGGAGGGATTGCTCCTTTACCCTTGATTCTCAATTATGAAAGGAAAATAGAAATTTGCAGATGTATATGCACTGTCGCACATGATGATCAGGCTAAGCTGATCAGAAATATCAGGACTGTGGTAAAAAAGTGATTTGAAATTGCAGAAAAACAAAATTCTTTAACACAAGTATGCAAATCATTTATATTCCGGTAAAAGGATGGTAACATGTCACACGTTACCACAGAAGGCCGGCACGATACCGCACCAATCCTCTTTCATGAGAAAAGCATCAACAGTCTCGGAGTAAGAGAAGGTAGGACTGCTGGCGAGAATAATAATTTCTGGCAAACCTGCAAGAGCCATTAGTGTTCTAAACAGCAATGGTTTGAAATCCAAGAAGAAGATATGGCATTAGTAACAAATAATCTGTACATCTTCATACATATTGATTTGGCTGCAATAAGAAAAAAAACGTTTTTCTTCTAATGGTCGGGTAATACACAAGGCAGCAACAGCCGATACTCTGAAAATGTAACATGTTCTATATTGGTTTAACACTTCCATTGTTAAACAGACCTAACATGTTATATTATATTATATAATTATATTTGAACTTCTTATTTGCAGGCAGGTTTCAATTGATGCTTTACACTTTAGTAGCAGACAGACACTATTTAAAAATACAAATTAGCTGAGCACTGTTTTTTAGTCTTGGTTGTTAAATACAAAAACGATTGGAAATATTACATATGTTTGCAAAAATGTCT